CTTCCTGTCTTATGCTGTTGACATATATAATTAAATTGTTACAGTATATACATATGTCCCTGAAGATGATAAAATATTTTAGTCTCAGAGTTAATTTAGAAGATATGGCTTTGTACTATGCTTTCAGAGTTAACATATAAGCTACTTATAAGGAGTTGGATACTCTTAACGGTGTAAGGTCTCTTGGGGAAAACCGGCATGACCCAAAATGAACAATATCACACCATATTAAGAGTATCTTTAGGTCGTTTTAGCCCAACAACTGATATCAAAAGCAATGGTTTGGCGGCAAAACTGCAGAGATGCCGAAGTGTAGCGTGGGGGACCCGTCTTAGTGCCTTTGCCCGTCTAAGGGCCAGTTTACTACCTTTACCCATAGCTTCAAAGACGCATACGCAGCCTCTCCTTGGGCTTCGGTGGCCGTAAATACTCGGATCACGTGGGTGGCACACATGGGTCATGTGCAACTTAGTTCAAGGGGTTGATTGTTGGGAGTGTGCGAACAAAGTCCCATATGGAAAGTAGAAAAGAAAAATAAGCTACTTCAAGGAGTTGGATACTCTTAATGGTACGGGGTCTTTAGGGAAAACCGTACAGGCTTGACCCAAAGCGAACAATATCACACCATGTTAAAAGTATTTTTGGACCGTTTTACCCCAACACATTCTCCAATCACTTGCCATTACAATAGGTATAGTGCATACCAATAGGTGGTTTCTTTCCTCCTTTCTTGTTTTGGAAAGAACGAAGGGAGAGTTCATCTGTGAACCATCTTGAATGCATACATCAGTAGAATTCTATAATGACATTAATGCCAAAGCTTAGCCTTCAATTTCCAAATTTCAAAAACAAACAAAAGATATGAATTTTTGGTATATGAAACAACGTATAGGTCAATAAAAGATGTTTTTTTTTGTTAATCTCCACCCATATCTGCATATCAAATGTTAAAGAGAGGAGTCCTTTGTATTGTATATATTGTATGATACACATCGCAACAACATGCACTTGCGTCAAAATTGTATTGAATAAAAGGCAGTCCGGTGAACTAAGTTCCCGTTATATGCGAGATGTCCGGGAAAGGGTGGGACCACAAGGGTCTACTGTATGTAGCCTTACCTTACATTTTTGCAAGAGGCTTTTTTCACGGCTCGAACTGTGACCTCCTTCTCACATAGCAACAACTTTACCGGTTACGCTAAGGTTCCTTCCCAAAATTGTATTGAATGTCCAACTCAAATATAGTTTCTGAGGAGGCTCGATTTTATGTGCCCTCCTGTACGTAATCACTTCTTTGATCTTAATAACTTAAGGTAGAGTCCTCTATCACAAGGTGGTTTAAGTTAAAATAAATAAAAGTAAAAGGACCAAAGACTAGTTTGGGAAAAAGAATGAGCATTCTGTCCCTATATATGGCTAAGTTAAATAGTATCATCATAGGTAGAGTCTACTATATCTGAATTCATCTATCAAAAAAATTGAATCATGTCCAATTTGAGACATCTAGGGATAAGAGGTGGGACTGCACTTGAATTAAATAGTGGATGTTTTATGGGTAAAATATATCATATATGCATATTTGGCCAAACATTATGAGCATATTAACGTATGAAATAAAAGGAAAACACCGGACAGTACCGAAATATTCAAGAGGGTCAACATGATATATCTTTTATCACAGACAAGAATGCATATTCAATATGGTTAATATGGGGCACAACTTGATTTTTAGTCGGTTGTGTTGGTTCGATTCCAACCCTAATATTTGCTAAAAATTTTATTTGATAATGGTGTTCTCGTCGCTTTCAAATATGGGGTCCGCCTCTAGTTAAATGAATTTACGGTGAGAATAATGAAATACATTAATATAGGATGCAAATGAAAAGCAAGACATTTATTGGAGATGAAAAATTACAAAATACTCTATAATTATAGGCGTAGGATCGCATTTCTATGAAATCAAGCGCGGGGAGAGTAACCGCCGACGGAAGAAAACAACTCTTGAAGCAAAGCCCAAGATAACATTTGCACTCTGAAATATACTTGCAAAAAGTATGTGAAATGTTGCCTTTACTAATGAATAGTTACTCTTTCAAAGTGAAATGTTAGTATAAAAATCTTTTACATTATTAGGTTATTTTTATCTATTATAACAAGTAATCTGTGAAGAGAAGTCTTGGAGCAACAGTGAAGTTATCTTCGCGTGACCAATATGTTACCAGTTCGAGTCGTGGAAACAACCACTAATATTTGTATTAGGGTAAGATGTCTATGTCACATCCCTTGAAGGTGCGACCCTTCCTCTGACCTTATGTAAAGGGGGGCATAGCCGCACTATGTCAAGGGTGGTCGATCGCCATAAAATTATACTGCGTATATAAGTTAAATTCCATTTTATATTGTTATATATTATATATTAAATACCCTTAACAGGTAATCCAGCGGTTGATGATGTTCAAAAGTGATATTTATTCACGGGTTCTGAGTTATCAGTCCATTTTGTTTGCTAAATCTAAAAGGAGATCCTCGCGTGTGCGGTCTATTTACTCTTTTCAATCTATTTTTTTTTAAATAAAATAACTCTTAAACTTAAAATTTCTGTAATAAATAACTAGTTTTAAATAGTAAATTTTAAATTAAACAAATCTTATAATTTGAAAGTCAAGTTCTACAAAAAAAATGCTTCAACAAAAGCTCTCTACATATTATAAACCCTCTCAACTTTGTGTTTTTTTTGGTTTTATGCTTACTTTTATTAGTAAAATGTCTATTTTTATTGTTTTAGTGTTAATTTTGATTTACAAAATTGTAGTTCTCTATTATAAGTATTTTTATTGTTTAGCTAATTTGTGTAGTTTGATTTAAAATGTTGCATACTTTTGACTAAAAAAATTTGGTATACCTTTTATCGATAAAAAATTATTGACTTGTTTAAATTCTGAACACCTTTAACAATATTTTTGGCTACGTCACTGAATGTGGGAACTTTATGTACAGTGTTGTCCTTTTGACAAGTAATTTATCTTATTTTCAAGACTATAAATTTCACATTTTAAGAAGGTTAACCTATAGATATTATTCCGGTGACGTGATAGTTTAAAGAAATTCTTTATAATGATAGCATATACTAACTTAAACCTTTATTTTAGTTCTTACTCATAATTAGGTGTGTACGTCGACCGGGTTGGTTCGATTTTTATCAAAACCAAACCAAACTAACTATATCGGTTTAGATTGGTTTAGTTTTGACGGATTTTTCGGGGTTTTCGTTTTTTTTTCATGAATATATATTATTTCAATCTTACTTTGTTAAATTTTTTATAAATAAACATATGTTTAGTAAAAACTGAAAACATATGATCTATTAACATATTCTTATGGGAGAATTTTTTTAATTACATACAATAGCTATTTTTTGGTCGTCTAACAATAATTTTTCCTTGATGTACACTTTTAAGGTTGACTGAATTTAATAACTAAACATAAAAATCAATATGATGCCTATATAATGATGTGTTCTATTTAATTTTTAACTATCGTAATACCACTTCAAATTTGAAAAAAGATATAAGAATTTAATAGATCTTGACATATGGATATGGAAGAACAAAGAGATTGACCCATTTTACTAACACTTGATAAGAAAGAAATCATACAATCCATTATTTAATGTTAATAAAAATAGAGCACTTCATATTTAACTAAATATTACATTCCATAAGAGAATCACAAATATTTCTAGACATTTTTTAAAGAAAATCCTATGAGAAGTCTTAAAAGTATATATAAAATTTATATATTTATATGTCATTTTGGTTCGGATTTTTTTACTCAATACCAAACCAAATCCAATCGAATTTTTTAATCGGTTGAGTTTAACTTTTGAATTTGATATAATTTTCCGGTTCGATTTGTAGACCACGCTCACAATTTTTGAGAAGCATAAAATTTGGACCACTTTGACTTGACGCATGCTATTTCTTTAAAAGTCCTAACGTTACCCCCAATTTGGACCACTTTTGACTGGATGCATGTCATTTCTTTGATTTTAATGAAGTAAGAAAATACTCTGTATTTTGGGTTAATACTAACTAGAAGGAAAACAAATGTATTGACTTTAGTTTGCAAGTGAACTGACCCTACAATAGTGCTTTATATAGTTTTTAAAACGTGTATATAATTATTAAATATATAGACGCGTATAATCATTTTAGTGACATCAATAATCAGTATACCAAGATAAATAAAGTTTCTTTTATATAAATACTCATATTTAATTAGTAATTATTCTCAATTATTAGAATAATTTAGGTTTATTTATTCATAATTATACCACATAGCCAAGAATCTATAACATCCACAAAAATTGGAAAGGACTGCTAACATATGATAGAATCTTCGGACTACTGATCTTTGAAAGAAATTTCCATATAGTCTACATAGACATAGTTGATATTAAATTTATTCTTTGCCTATTAAGGTTGTGGTGTAATAATAAAGGTTCCGTTACTCTTAATTAATTATAAGAGATTAGAGCCCTCTTTGATAATGGGGCTAAAAACTCCCGCAGCTTGACTTTTTTTATAGCATAAATCAAGATTAGTCGAGTCAGTAAATTTAAGATATTGAAAGTTGAAACGAAAAATATGCTAGCTTTGATCTTTTTGTGGGCTAGAGATCTAGTTGCCGAATTTTTTATTGCCCATTACTTGTAGATAATGTTAATTATAAATAAAAAAAATAAAATCAAACCAAAAGAAATCCGAAGTCTTTGAGTTATCATCTCCTCCTCTGTCACGATCCAAAATTCTCACCTTCGGGATCGTGATGGCGCTTAAAATTTTACTTTCTAGGCAAGCCAACATTAGAGGGTTCTTAATGCCAATTTTAGCCAATTTCAATAACCAGAACAATTAAGCTAAACAGAAGCTAAAACTGATTTGCGGAATAACATAAAACTCATAATATCTGAAACATTTAGGATCTGGAGTCACAACTCACGAGCTACTATGATTTACTACAAACAGAGTCTAAAGAAAATGCATTGTTCTGAAGGAAAAGAAACAGTAAAATAATGTGACTGGGATGAGACTCTAGGGTCTGCAGACGCCAGTAGATCTACCTTGGGTCTCCTGCCGAGCAAGTCCAGCTGCTAACCTCTCGATCAGCTCGGGTCAGTACCAAAATCTGCACAAGAAGTGCAGAGTATGGTATGAGTACAACCGGCCCCATGTACTATGTAAGTGCCGAGCCTAACCTCGACGAAGTAGTGACGTGGCTAAGGCAGGTCACTCACACTAGAACCTGTACACAAAATAAATAATATATACAGAAAAGGAAATACAGAACGAAATAAAGTAGTCAATTGAAAGTAATACCTATAGCTTCAGGAATAAGTCAGCGACGTTCAAAATTTACCAATCTTTAAGTGCAAAAGGAAATACCGTAAAACTAATCGTAGCTCAAAGGAATATAAACACACAGGTTGTTGCGGCGCGCAACCCGATCCCACCGTACATCACATAATCCTCCCTTATTTTCTCGTAATAACATTAACAACAAAGAGTATATATATAGGTGTTATGGCATGTAACCCGATCCCACCATATCACAATATCAGAATCATAGTTCACCCTTATTTCACCAAAACAATCCACCCTTATTACACCTGTTGCGGTGTGCAACCCGTTCCCACCGTAAAGTACAGATTCACCCTTATTCCACCTCATCATACCACCCTTATTTCACTTGTTGCGGCATGCAACCCGATCCTACCATATCAATATCAAGTACTCAATATGCACAGTAAAACTTACAATTCAAAGCACGGAAAAGCCTTTACAATCCATAAACACCAAACTGAAACAAATAGGAAACCTTGAACATCATGATAATCCGCATAAGTAATACTAGACAACGAGAGCAATCAGAATTTATAACTAGAAGATGCAACTAAACCAACTTGAGAAAATGGTAGGAGATCATGAAACTATGAAAAGATCTAATATCATAAACAGGAGGAAACAATGACTAGGCATGCGAATACATCGGTAACCCCTTAAAGTTATCATCATTTTTCACTTTGACACTCCATCTTTAGTCTGTTCCATTTGAACACTCCAACCACACTTTGAATGTGTCATTTAAACACAAAAAGCTGACATGGCAAGTCAAGTGTTACTCACATTTTTCAAGTGCGTGAAATGGTCCAAAAAATAAACTCCTCACCCTTTTTTCTCTTTTTTCTTTTTTCTATCTTCCTCTCCTCCATTTTTGAAATCCTTCATAATATTTTCATCAAATCGGTATCTGCTGCTCTGTCCCACGTCGAAACTGTAACCACAGAAGATTTAATTTAACTTGTATTAATGGGAACTAAGAAAGAACCCTAAGAGTATGAAATTTGTCCAGTATAAGAACTTTTCTGTAACGAGCTACCATGGGTGGAGAAGTGAAGCTTTCTGAGTACAATTGTAATAGTGGTAATAATGACGACAAAGTTTTGTGGGAGGTCGGACTTCCCGGCACCGACGATCTCACGCCGTTGACTTTGCAACCGATTCCGGCCGAACTTGCTTCGAAGAATATTTCCACCATCCAGACGCTGACCAACCTAACCAAACAATCAATTGAAATTGTGGCTAACAAGTTTTGCCAAAACAAATCACTTAATCTAAATTGGAAATTAGCATCAAGATTTTGTTTGTAATTTGAAGGGAAAAAATGAGTTAGGATAAAAGGGTAATTAAAATGGACTTAATTCTTAGAATCCATAGGTGGGAAAAAATTAAGATTCCTCCAATTTCTTTGCTCTTCCCTCTATCTAGAAATATACTTTGTAAGAACAAGTGGGAAAACAGAAGAAAAAAGTGTGCTAACTTATGTCCGAAATTGATCCTCTAATTCTCTCCATGAATGACCATGACTAATTCTTTCAAGTTTTTTTTTTTGCAGCATAGGGTAATCAACATTAAGATTTCCTTGATGCTTGACAAGTTCTAAAGAAACTAATATAGCAAAAACAGTTTGGGCGGAGGGGGG